ATTCTTCATTAACTTTTCTCCTTTACTTCTTTCTCACCAAGTGTTATTTGAAGTTGTTACGAAAAATACTAAAGGGATCACGTTTGATCTATTTGGGATTTTTCACCCAACTGGCCTCTTTTAGTAAAATCCCGTTTGAGAAATGGAAGTGAAGAAAGTTGATAGTGACCAAGGGCTCAGTTTGGTTTGAAAAGGAGTTGAACTCAGAAAGACCAAATGACTTAGAACACTGGGACGGCAACGAAGGTATTCCTTCTTCCAAAAGCACAGTGTTTTCCCTTCCCAGTTCCTGCACAAAAGGCAGTTCAGCACATATGTGATCCAGAAGGTCAATCATATGAAATCCTATTTCCATTTTTTAAGCAATCCTTGGCAGTCTGCACATTTCTGAAATTGCAACTGGCGCGTTTCAGACAGAATTATCATCAATGTCCTTCAAGGTCAAACATGCTCCATTTTAGATTGCTAACATTTCAGCATGTCCCTTTCATGTATTAAATCATTTTATCCTTAATAAGAAATTCAATAGACACATTAAATGCTCTCAATTGATTAGACTGTGCTAATTAATGCCGTGTTGACTTTTCTCTCAATATAAATCACCTCTTAAAAATTAAGATATTAAAAGTGCCTTAAAATTTAGATGCTGGTATTCTGCTCTTGTCAAAAAAACCCTGGCATACTAAAAAGACTGCGTGAACAGAATTTTGCTATAGATTTTACATTTTTCCAAAATATTAAAAAGTGTAAGCGATTCCAAAAAGGCACTTTAAGGTGATAACAAGATGTCTTGTTGCTGTTGTTTTTCAGTTGTCCAAACCTAAGCATACATACCACTGTATGGAAAAGGAAAATTGAATTTGGACTTTTCAATAAATGAGAGGTGATGGGTTACCCACAGCCAGCCTGGCACAGTGTGATGAGAGAGGTCTTCTGTCTTCTTTTGCCACCATCATCATATTCATTTGCATTATGCCTTGTTCATGAATCACCCTCCCCCAACAACACCCCCAGCTTGCTCTCTCCTTATGCTGGGCATGGGCACTCCTCTTGAAAGCAAGGCCTTTGAGATCTCTCAACACTGGAGGGAATCTTATTCGTGGTTTACCCTTCCAAATGGAGTTACACTTAAAAGTAGGATTTCAAAATAAAAATATGAAAAGATACATATAAAGTAAGGCGTGCAAGAAATAACGAGAAGAACCTTAGACAGGACACATACTTTCAAACCTTCCCACATGAAACTCTTGGGACAATTCTGGAGATGTGTTTGGACTATGATTGACCTCACTCAGGTCTATGCATCACAGAGCCATCTGGGTTTGTGCACCTTGCCATTTTCACTACTACCAGGTGGGCCTCTACCCATCATTGTCTTTGAGGCCAGGTCTGTGTGCATGGAAGTGTCACTGCCCACAAGTGCGGGCGTGAAACTTGGCTTCCACCTGAATTTTTCTTCCTAACCCTATTTTCCAGCTACACATTAGAACTACATCTTCCAGTCCTTCACCCCATTCTTCACCTCTAAAGTTTCCCTAAATTTTTGAGGGAATAGGAGTAAAGGAATATTCAGTAATTCTCCCCTTCCATCTTTGTCACTCTCAGTTTCTGTGCCTCTTTGCACCATTTTGACCTCCATCACAAGACATCTGATGTCTAATTTTGCTATTGGCAACAGTGCACCAAATTTGGGGCTTTTCGTGATGATTTCCATTAATTTACTCATCCTTCATTCATTCCCTCACCCATCAGTCATCCATTCACTCAACACATTCATGTATTCATAGTTGACTAATTCATATATTGTGAATGATTCACAATCATTCTTGATTTCTTCATATATTGTGGTATGTCCTTGTTTATAATGAATCAACGCAGACTGTGCTCCAAAGACATGCTAGCCCCATTCCTTCTCACTTACTCAAGGATGTGTTCTCAGTAATTCTTTCACCCCTGCGCTAGTTCATCAATGTTTGCCTTTCTACTTTACACACTTTTTTATTTCTGAGTATGGCATATGGCCACCTTTCCCGAGAAAAGAGGGGGGGGCGGACCTCCAAAGATCCTACCTCTTCTTCCTGCTACCCCCTTTTTTTCCTCTTATTTTTAACTTCAAAAGTTTTCAGAAGACTTGCCAATATTTTGCTGCATATTAGATCTCTCCACTTTCTTGAGATCATAATATCTTTAGGTTTTTGTCTCCAGATCTCCACCAAAACCGTTCTTTTCAATGACATCAATGTGGCAAAGGCCATTGGTCAATTCTCCAGTTTCAATATACTGGATTTGATAACATGATCTCTCTTTGTGAATCCCTTTTGTCATTACACTGGCAAAGCATCTCGTCTCTGTATGGTTCTTATTGTATGTGTCTTTTCTTCCTGTCATTGAGGTAGATCAATGACCCAAGCTCGCTCTTATAGGTACTTTTATCTTATGGTGGCACTGTGGATTAGGTGTTCAACTACTAAGCTCAAGGTTAGCAGTTCAAACACAACAGCAGCTCCACTGGGAAATGATAAGGCTGTCTATTCCTGAAAAGATGTACCCTCTAAGAAAATCCTTATTGGCTCACCATGTGTTGAAATTGACTCAAAACCATTGGGTTTGGTTTCAGCTAAATTTAGATGCTAAATGTTTTTATTTAGTCCTATGATTATGCAATCTACAGATTTATGTCTCTCATATTAAAGCCTCCAGCTTTTA